GGCGGATCCAGGATTTTTTTAAGGGGATGGCTCTAGAATGCCGCGAACTTTTGGCGGGAAATTTGCATGACGGATTAGTTTGGATAACGTATCAATTACAAATTGCCCACTAAAACTAGCCAATTAATTAGGAAACTAGCTAATTCAATTGTTATTTTTTTATTTTAGAAAATTTATTTGTTTAGAAAACTTGTACGGGGAGGGGGGCGCGACGGTCCCCCAAGGTCCCTCCCCTAAATCCGCCACTGAACGTCACTGAACCGAATCGATCAAACGAATAAACAAACAAACGAAACAAAAATGATTGATTGATGTACCAGCAAGTAATACTTATACAAGATATAGAGAAATTTCCGTAAGAAATTTATTGGACGGTTCAACTAGGTGTAACTTGATCATAATTACTTTACTTTTCGCTATTATTGTTATTTTTTTTTTTACTCGTGGTCATTCGTGGTCGCTCATATGTGACTCGGGGTCACTCGTAGTCATTCGTGGTCACTCGTGGTCACACTCGTGTGGAGTTTTAGAACAGATCGAACTAAAAGTCAGGCAGTCGATGTTTTTTTAATCGTCGGAACCAGCGTAATTTCAATCAATATAACAAGGGAAAGAAAAATAAAGACCGAAATAAGGGTCTTATTATGAATTAGCAGCAGGAGGGGGGGAGCTTGAAATTGAGAAGTGGGTACTGGAAATAACTTGACATACCAGATTTGTAGAAGAGAAATTTTCTAACCCTCACTGTATCAGACCGTCCCTAATTCACCCATTACCAGAACAATTTATCATTGCCCCCAAGCAGCCAGTGAAATATRGTGCAGGGCCTGTAATTGGACCATTGTTTCTTCATTTTGAATAATAATAATAATAATAACTTTATTAACTCATCTTTTCTATAAAAATACGATGAATTTACAATTTAAAACGGATGAAATATATAAAAACTATATAAATCTATATAAATATGATTACAAATTTATTTATGGTAAATGCGACAAGCTCTTGGAGCGAATGATTTATTATGTCTCTCAGTTCTTGAAATCATTTTGGTGCTGACACATCTTCCTGATCGGGTGGAGTATCTCCGAATTGATAGTACGGTGAAAAATGAGTGATTTGGATGGTCACTATCTTCTAGAATTCTCACAAGTTCTCGCCTGGTTGCSTCATCCCTACGCTCTTCTAAAGTTGGTAGACTGGACTTCTGAACGCCAATAATCGAGAGACTGCGATTCTGAACACGCTGCAGATCTTCAGCGAGGTATTTGGGGATACCCCCCCAGACTGGGGATGCGTATTCTAAAAGTGGACGTACTTTAGTGCAGTAAACGGTGGTTCCAACTTCTTTGGGCAAGTTGGCTTTTCTGCACTCACGCASAAAGAAAAGGCGCTTGTTAGCTTTCTTAGTCGACTCGTGTATATGATGGTTCCAGCGCAGATCTTCTTGTTGCCATACTCCGAGAAGCTTAAAGACTGGGACCCTCTCTATTACATTGTTCCCTATGTTTAAAGGGGAGGGCTCGTTAGCTGTCTTAGTGAACGAAATCCACATGTCCTTTGTTTTTTTACTATTAAGTACCATGCCGTTCGTCTCCGCCCAAGATTGTAAACTGTCAAGAACTCTTTGCATCGAAGATTCACCACCGCTAGTAACGCTTT